ACAAATGTATTAGTTTTGAGAGGAAATTGTTGTAGGTCATTATTTCTGAATAATGAGATGTTATTATAAAATTATAACACACTTTGACAGATATCCCTATCCATTACAAAATATGTTGGGAGTCCATACATGCTGATAACAGAGATAATTGGCGGCCCATTGTGGTAAAACTAACTACAAAAGCAAAACAAATAGTTTGTCCACCAATTAATAATTGTGGTGGGTTTAACAACAAATTGGTCATCACATAAATAATGTTTGACCAATTATCCCTGATTTTGAAAACTAACAATCCAGCGTAGGATCAATTTTTTGCTGTATCATGCGCAGACTCAATTTTTTGTCATATAGTTTGTTTATTTTATCAATATTTTTTAAGTGCATCTGCGAGCATAGGTTCTTTCTCGATAGTCTTTTGTTGCATTTTTGGATCTATTTATTTAGGATTTGAGAGTATCATTTTCAACCATAAATACTTTGATATTATGGGCCGGTTATTATCGCACAACCGGAGATTCCTAGTTGTTCATAGAAAAATATGGTGTGTAGTCTTCAAAATGACACTTGTCACCTAAAGACACCCTAACTGTAATACCATACGGGCAGGGCAGGATGAACTTTTCTCTTAAAAAAAATAAAAACTGTAAGTTAAAGAAAAATAATAATCCATCCATCTCTAGTGAATGACTATTTTAGAGCATGCTTAGATATATAAAAAGTTTTTGTTTTAATTGGATTTTTGGTTTGAGTTGATTAAATTTAAAAAAGTTGATATGGTTAGTTGTTAGTGGTATATTAAAATAATATTTAAAATAAAATAATTAAAATTAAATTGATATAAGATTAGGAGAGAGAAGATGTGATGACCATAATCCCCGTAAAATGGTTCGCTTCCTTATCAATTCTTTGATTCGTTCGAGTAAGGCCAGGGCCTAAGATTAGGCCGAAAGGCATAGTTAGTTAAAATTATGTGAGTTGATGATAGTGAATTAAGGTTGATGTTGTGTGTTAGAATAATTGATAGATATTATTTAATTATATTGATAATATTGATGATAGTGAGGTTGAGTTAAAGTTGAGTTAAAAAAGTGGTTGAGTTAAAAATGATTGGATTATTGGGTTTTGAATTGGTATCAAGCATGCTGATGAAGCTCGATTTTGTGTAGGAACCCGCACTAACGGTCTTGGTTCGAACACGATAAAATGTGTAAACTCGCACTGACGGCCTTGATTTACACATTAATAAGTAAAAAACTTACACTATCAGCCTCGATTTTTCACTAAAGAGAGTACTTGGAAACGAGCCTTTTTCTTAAACTTTATTTCATTAAACTTTTACTTTCTTACAATAATGAGAACATGGATATTTATAACCTAAATCTAATAATTTAAATATTCAAATCATAACTAACTAACTATTCAAATTCAAATTATAACTTACATATTAATCTATCTAAATAAATAACTAACATAACTAAAATAAACTACTCCCGCTCATATACTTTCATTGAGCCCGAGTGCTCGGTTCGCATCACATGCTCTTTAACATTCTTATAGAGGCGCGATACAAAAACCCGCTCGAAGTTGATTTGGTGTCGCTCCATCTTCGCATCATGAGCACCTTCAAGAAGATGAATCTGAGGGCGCGCAACAGTTTTGGAAGCAATTCTCTACCTCCGGAAGAAATCTTCAGAAGATTCAGATTGTACAGCACAAAACCACTTGATATGAAGAGGTTAAAGCCCATGATCTTGAAGCGGATTGAGGAACGATCCACGGAATATCCTGTCAAAGGTATAGTTCAGGTGGCCAACGAGGTTCTACGGGCTCGGGCCGCCCTGTGCGACGGCGTATCAACAATCATCCGGTACGTACCCGTCTTGGCTTGCAAGTAATTGCCCTAAAATTTTCTCCTCTTCCCTCGGATATTAGTTGATTTGTGACTTTTTTTTGTGGTGCTTATTACTGTTATCAGTGATTGATATTGTGATTAAGTGAGGTTACTTTTGTTAGCCATTGAAAGTTTTTTAGTTTCTAATTTTTGTTTTAATTTCCTTTGATGGGTTTGTGATTATGGTTTTAATGAATTGGGAATATCGAGTGAAACTGGCTATCTCATTATTTTGTTTGTATGAAATGTTCTTTTTTGTTATCTGTAATAGACTATATTCTTCTTTGTTTTTTTCTTTAGATTTTGCTTGTATGCCAAAGTACTCCTTTTTTCTGCTCTCTGTTTATTTTTGTTTTCGTTTTTGGAGATGATGAAAGCATATATTACCTTTGCCTTTTCTACCGCAATATGATTGTCGGTTATTTTTGTCACGGCCTGTCTCGAATTTCTTAAGGTGTGGATGACTAAACCGAGGACTGAGCAAAATATTCAATTATCTTATTTGTTAATTTTTTTTCTGGATCCAGAAATCTGATGCTCTTATGTCAAAATCTAGTTCAGCAAAACTATTACATATATATAAATATTTATATATCTCATTTAATTTCCTTCTTTGTTGGTTCAGATACTGCTCTGAAGTTTTTATTGCTGAAAGTGGTCACTTAATTCAAACTTGCCATGGTCGCCGCCGTCACGCAAAAAACAAGGGTCATACCTGGGTGAAAGGTAGCTTGAATGACGTTATTGTCCCCGTAGAAACCTTTCATCTTGAGAGAATGTTCCAGAATGTTACCAACAACCAAGGTATTATCAAACCCAATAATCTTGCAAACAACAACACAACTGATTCGGATAAATTATCACAAGATGATCTAAGGAGAGTAGCAACAAGAACCCTGCATGCATGGGAGGCCATTCGATGGGGAGTTCACAAGCTGTTGAAAGTTCATTCAGCTAAGGTCTGCAAACACTGTAACCAAGTGCATGTAGGCCCGTTTGGCGACAAGCCCGTGATTAAGCATGACAATGTCCACTTCTGGGAGAATGCAAAGGTGGACAATTTGGTGCCCCAAAAAGTAGTTTGGATTAGACGGAGACAAGATCCGCCTGTACTTGTGGATAAAGGGCGGGAATATTACGCGCGGGCGCCTGTTGCGGTGGATTCATGCAGTAAGGCGGGTGCATTGGTCCCGTCAAGATACTTTTGTATGATGAAACTGGATGGATTGACTGCTCCACTGTTGAATGTGGATTTTTTTTTTTTCGAAATTCTGTTTTGGTATACATGTTAGAATTGCATTTTGCCATTCAAAAGAGGTTGATTGACTGAGAAATATTGGTACAGAAAGGTCCAATGGTGCCTAAATTTTTGTAGGTGTAGATTTGTGATAAGTCAAAAATATGTGTCGATTTAGTGAATTAATTTAGGATTTATATTAGATATTTGAGTTCAGTTGACATAAGTTTGACATTATCTTTTATTTTCGAGTGGAAACTACCGGTTTTTGATTTTTTGTGCAGATTGACGACTTTTGTGCACAGTGAACATTAGTTTTAAAGTACCAACCGCTGGAACTAACATGGCAGTGTCAGTTTTACATTGAATTGCAACATGGCATGTTGGTGTTATTAAGAACAGATTATTCATTGGGCCAGGAAACTAACGGATTTGGCCCATGAGAACTTAAAGCAGCATGAAACAAACCTAGGACGTATATAATCCTTATTATGGGTTAATTGAGGAGCAAGGAGGGCGGCTGGGAGAAAAGAACGCAGAACAGAGCACAACATCAACGGCTCTCTCTTCTCTCATTTTTATTTTTTTTCTTTTTCTTTTCTTTTGGATTATTTTATGATAGCCCTGCGCGGCTAATTTATCTTTGTCTTGGTTGAAGACGATCGAAACCCAGACCTACTACTGTGAGATCGAATTAGTTTTTATTCCAATATGACTATTTTCCGCATCAATGTTTCGTGTGCATATTTTTTATGATTGTTATGTGTAGTTGATGGATTGGCCACCTATTATTCTATGATTATGATCTATTGCTTGATTGATACTTGAGTCGGATTTAGATCATGTGTCTTTCACTAGAAGCAACTAAGATACATGATTGACCGGATTTAGGCGTTGTCGTCCTTAGGCAAAATAATTGAACAAGTTAATATTTAACGGATTAGTTATTTATTGCTTGGACTGTCGGTCTCTTGTATTGAATGCTATTGCTAAAATAATTCTTCACGATGTTAGGAATTAACTAGTTATAAGAGTCTCGTAGAAGGGTTTATTTTGCGTGACTAAACCAGGAGATGGAATTTATATTCAACGGCAGTTGCGTGGATTGTGAGTTTATATTTTTGCATCAATGATCAGTGGAACAGTCTAGGGTGAAAATCAATTCAACCAAGGCATATTCATATTATATTTATTTTTGTTTATTTAGTTTTGTTTTATTTATTTGTTAGTTTGATAGGTAATTTCTAGTTTAATTAGATCATTAATTTAAAAACCCTTTCTTTGATCACATAATTAATAGATTTAGTTTACTTCTCCCCGTGGATACGATCCTTGCTCACGCTACTACATATTTTTAAGCAAGGTTAATTTGGATGCCTACGACAGCACGACCAAATTTTGGCGCCGTTGCCGGTGAGAATTTAAATTGAATCTTTGACTTTGTGATTGTGTATTATTATTAGTATTATTTCTTGTTTCTCTTTTATTTGTTTTTCCATTTTCATTTTTCAGGAATTGTTGCATCAATACCAACTTGTGAGAGCGAGCAGGTTCCAAGAATTTTAGGTGATCCGATTTGGTCCAAGGACATACGGTGAAGTCAGTATGGAAGAGATTTTGAATGAACTAACTGCATATATTCATCAATGGGCTGCTGACAACATGAGGTCGGTGAAACCTTGTAAAAAATGTGCAACCACAGCCCATGACATTGACTCTTGTCCCATGTTGGATCAAGATGGAAGGATTGTAAGAGGTGTTAATTCAATTGGTAGTTGTGTGAACTTTGATACATACCAACCATACGATCCTTTCTCCAGCATATATAATTTTGGTTGGGCCAATCAGTCAGATCGTTTTGACACATGCATGCACTTTGATTTTGAGAACCATAATAGGGGATTTCAAGAGGGATCTAACTTTTTTACGGGAGACTCACTGTCTATGCAACACCCAAATGTAGATTCTGGTATGGCGCTTGAAGAAATTATTGAGCAATTGGCTTCTAGTACCCCTCGAATTTCAACAGGAAACCGTGTTGAGCATAAAAAAATTGGACAATCAAATAAATCAGTTGGCCAACAGTGTGAAACGTTTGGAGACCCAAGCTGATGAAGAACTACATTTCATAACAGAGATGGACCAAAGTGACATGAGCGATATGATCATGCATAGTGGTGAAGGGGTTTTGCTTGATGAAGAGAAGACAACAGAGGAAAAGTCACCACGAGAGCTTCCTGAAGCAGCAGCAGAAGAAAAGCAATACTCTGATGGCCAACATGGTCATGTCACTGACCATGTTCTCTATGAGACTGTTGGTATGAGTTTATTTCAAGTAGCAGAAGAAAAAGAACACTCTGATGGCCAGCATGGCCATATTGTTGACCATGTTCTCGGAGATGCAGAACTGGGCATAGATTCAGAGGCTAAAGCAGGGGGCGATTTCATGCCTGCTACAGAAAAAGAAAAAGTGATGTCTGAACTTCAGCATGGCCATGTTGCTGAGCATGTTCATTGTGATGTTGCTGATATGAACGCAGAATATGAGGCTGACAAGAACGAGAGGGAAAAGGATGTCTCATGTTATCCCGAGTATAAGCTGGTACCTTCTTATCTCTTGGCTTCTTTTCCCTATGTGAATGATGGGTACACCAGATACATATATGGAACATTTCGAAGATACGAGGATGTTTTCTGGCCTACAAAAGAAGGTGGACTCATGGCATGTTTGGGAGAATTAAGGCCCATGCTCGACCACATCAGATGCATCTTTTATGGAGAACGTGGGAAGTTAAGGTTCAACGGTAGGCCTCTAAAAATGCAGTCTGGTGTTGCTAGGAAGAATGAAGTATATGGACTTTATGGGTTTCTTGGACGAATAAGAGCACTCATAGCATCTCTGAGACCCATCCCAAAACCTCCTTGGCGAATAAATTTGTGAGTCTCTCTACCTAGCATATATATACATACTCTTCATGCTTTTG